TGTTTGGGCAACTGAATCCTGTCTGCAGTCTCTCATTTTTCACATGTTGAATGGGGATAATAATACTTCTCTGCCTGTTAAAATGATGTGCTGTTGTAGGGACTGTCTTTTCTGAGCATCTGTTCAACATCTACAACAGTGAAGTCCATGAATAATTACCTTTACAGAGGTATTTTTTACTGATTCTGCAAAATAAATATAAACATTTCTGAGAGATGCCCAGAATTATAAAATGAATCTGTTATTTATTCTGCAGAATATGCCCTCAGGTAAACTGGTTTGCCAGCAGAAGAGCAGACTTCTAGATGGGCAGAAAAAATAAAAGAAGACTTTAACATTAAAAACAGGAGACAATGAAATACATTATGTTGGACAAGGAAAGAGTAGCGTGTTGATTTGTAGTTCTATTTCCACACTCACCGAGTCTTTCATTTTGTGACTTTTTTCAGCCTCCAAGGCAGGTTGGACTGACTTGGAATTTAAAAAGTGTCAAGGCAAGACTTTGTTCCTGTCTATACATGAAGGCCAGTCCTTGCTGGTCAAATTTTTCATGTTAAATGGCTGACCTTTCCACATTAACTACTCTCTCAAAGTTAAATCCTGTGGGCTGGCCTTGCAGTATGGAAGGCTGCCTTCTAATGTGTAGGAATCATTGGCACTTCTGCAATGTGCTAATAATTTAAAGTAATAAGCATCCAGGTATTAACTTTATGCTTGGAGTCGCTCATTCAGTTGACAAGTTATACATGTTAGAAATGATGGGGTAAAGAGAACATAAACTTAAAATGCTACACTACAGTTCAAAAATAAGTAGAAGCAGTAAAAATTCAGATTAATGTGTATGAATTCGTTTTCTCTTGGTCTTTGAATAAATAAGAACTTCACTTACCTCTTTGGCAGGAAGGTACAATGAACAGCTGTAAAAGAATGTGTGTGTGGTATTCATCTGCTCAAAATAGTTGATCACTGTGACTTTTGTAGTTGTCTTAAAAAGATTATTTTTGTTAGATTCCTGAAAAGGACCATAAATTAATGCATTTAAAAGAAGCCGTATTTTAATTACTGTAGCATAATTACTTAATACTACTCTTGGTCAGTTTGTTAGAACATTACTTCAGAAGACTTTAAGCAGTTGCAAAAACATTTTAAATGAATCCTCCTTAAATCAATCAGTGTTGTTAAGGATCTTGTATATTTTAAGTGAATTAAGTTTATTTTGTTGTTAGTTTAAATATTTGCCTTACTGTATATATTTATCTTACTGGATAAATGCTTAATCTTTGACTTAAAGTTCTCTCCCTGTCTCAGGCTTGTGGTCCAGCCAATCTAGTATTTTTTCTCCAATATTAGATGTGTCACACAAGGATGTCAAATGGTTTGAAGTAATCAGTTCTAATATAAGTTGCAAACAGGCAGAGATTCCTTCCCAGCCCACAAGTTAGTGGTGTGTTGATACCTGAAGATAAAAGGGTTACATCCTATGCTGAAAGTTTCAGGTGACATCCTAAGCAACATAAAGCCAACAGCAAAATCCCCATTGATTTTTGTTATTCTGGGTTTAAGTGAATGCATTTTAAAAAACAAACAAACAAACAATTTCATTTTAGTCCCCCTGGATGTTCCGGTTATTTTTAAGTATTTCATCTTTTGAGCATCTATTATAACATCCAGCAGGAAGAGAATGAAGTTCTTGTCTTCTGTTACATCTAGTGGCAAGGAGTTCCATGCATTATTTCTGAATTAATTAGTAAAAATATTTTTATCCACTTTCAAACAGCTTTATTCTAAGCTTCATTGGTTTCCCTGTTGTTTTGGAAAAATGAAAGGGTGAAAACATCCTTTTCCTTTTTTCTGTTTCCTCTCCATTATCTTGTAGAGCTTATGTCTTCCTTGTTTAATAGACTTAGCAATTTCAGTTTCTTCAATCTATATATGGATGTTTCCATCCTCCTTACTTGTTTAAGAATATCTTCTCATTCCTCTGCACTGAATGTGTCAAGATGAAAACAGACATGGTATTCAATGTGGGGATATCTTCCTGACATAGCACAGGTTTATTTTCCATGCTATTAGTTGTGTTCAGTGTTGGACTGTGTGCTGTCCATGACAAAAGGCATATATGTTGCAAGAATGTTGGGGGTAAAGTCTTGCTAAAGTATGTACACCAAAAGAGAAGACACAGAAAATTTAGATCTGGTCCTTGTCACCTGTACAGAGAGGCATAAAACTGAGCTTGACCCCTTGTGTTGTCATTTTACATTAGTCTAGAACTAAAGCATAAAATAATGTGGAAGTGATGTCCATACATTTTTTTAATTATTATTTTTCTTTACCAAAATTTCTTATCCTCTAATTATCTGAAAGGATTGTGATCATTTGATAGAAAGCACTGCTTTGATGTCATAAAACCAAAATAGTAAAAAGTATTATATAGGTATTTCATAATATCATCTATTATATTTCTAACCCAGAATGTGAAGTAATCCAAAGACATTTCATTTTGATGAATAACGGAAGTTCAAAAGCTTTTCCTTAATTTATAAGATACATTACACAGAAATCTTCCTTCTGCTGCTTCAGTTATCTTTTATCTTGATTATGGTTGACGTTTTTAGGGTACAAGGCACTGTAGTTAGGAGGATAATTTTAAATTCTCTATGAGGTGCTGCAGTTTGGCTCTGAGTTATATGGGAGACAATTTGAAGTCAGAGCACTATATTATTTTTCCATTGCAGCTACTGGATAACTCATGCAGCCTGATTAGTGCAATGAAGCTTTGAAAGACAAAACAGTGAAGGCAGAAAGCATTGCAATGCTTTACAAAGCGAAGGCCAGGAACAGGTTGTCAATCCACCTTCTTTATTTTTTCCTGTAAATTCATTTAAAATTTAACACAGTACAAAATATTGCAAAACCCTCATTTGCTGGAAGAATCTGGGCAAGGGAAGGGTTGCATCAGTTGAATAATTCCACTTGATTGTGTGCTTGTCACAGAATAGCCCCCGCACAGGCACTCCCAGCATGTTTACCTCTTAGACACAGAGATTTGGATTTGTCTGGGCCCAAAGTATCTTATTCTGTTTAGTCTTCCTGATTTTTATGTACATTTAAGCTTCAGCGACCCTTCCATATGCAGACTAACTAACATAAAATTCTTTACTTGGCATCCCTCATCCGGCTCCTCTACTTACTGAAAATCAAGGTAGGAAAGAGAAAGTATTATCTTCCACAACATGTTTTTACTTTCAAAAAATAATAATTGTACGCAGCCTTTTTTAGTTTAAAAGAAATGAAAGCAAACTACAGTTTCAGTCATACTTTTTACTGTTAGGAAAACTCACTGTAACTGCTGCCAAAATTCAATTAGGATCTATACTTCCTTCTGGATTCTCTCCAGCTCATCTTTAGGTGAAACATGCACTGTAATAGGATGTGAAACAGAAGCTGAAAGCAAGTATTTTCCCAGTTCTGTCATTTCATGAGTGTAACATGAGAAATTGCATTCTACTATCGTGGTAAAGATACTTAATATTTATTCCAGTATCTTCCAAGTGCATAAAAACCCATCTGTGAATGTCTACTCAATTATATTATCAGTTTGTCTTTCATTCTAAATGTCTTTCTGATACCCTGTTCACTACTTCTTTGCAGTCTTAATGGAGTTTAAAAATATTTTAAAAACAAGAGTGCTACTTTGAGCAGGATGCAGTTCACTTTGGGGTGAGGAGAGGACAGGATCTGTGTCACTGATGACAGCAAAACACAGAACAAAGCATTTAAACAGATGATAGAGACTAATGCCATGGAACAATATTTTTGTCTCATGGCTGGCTAAAATTTTGCTTGCTGATCAGCACTTAAACACCTAAATAAACAGCCTGATTCCCAAAAGCATTCTCATAGCAGTAGATCTAACAATTCATGTGAAATTAGCTTTTAAAAAAAAAAAAAAGGGAGGCTTATTTGGAAGACTTATGTTAGGCTCCTTTCCTGACAATCTTGAATTTAAATTTTTATGATTGATAAGAATTTTATATTTATAAATTCTTCTCCAAGATGGACTTGCTTTCCCACAGACAGCACCAGATGTGTGAGCAGGCGTTTGCAGATGGGCTCAGGTACCCGCCGGCGATCCCTGGTGGGGGTCTGCCCTTGCCCTCCCCAGGAGCTGCAAGGTCCTGGGATGTTCTGATCATGTCATCTTTCAGCAACCTGAATCCACTAGATTTTTGCTGCAGGAGGGGAAAGGTTTCCAAAGATGGGCTGCGGGTTATGGCAGCTGCATCCTTGCTGGCAGGGAGGTGAGACCCCACGGGTGCCTTTCTCCCGTCCACCCTGGATCCTGTAGGAAGGTGACTTGGGGATGGGGGCAGGATGGGAGGTCTCGCACATCCCCTTGGATCCCTGAAGCGTGAGCAGCTGCTTCCCAGCTGAAGCACAGACCTCCTCATGCTTTGTTGGCCAACATGCCACAGTCACATAGACTGCCCACCATTCAATAGCAGAGGTTATCTTGTCAGATCTGCATAAAAAACTGGATTCAGTTTTATTTAACAGGTTTCCAACTGTGTTTTAAAGAAGCAGGAGCAACTGGAAACAAGCAAGAAGCCGTTTCCAGTAGTTAGTTCAGTCACCACATAGCATCGGCATCAGCTCTGCAAACTGCTACTGTGTCCTAGACCACTTTTTCAAAATACTGAGCGATGGCATTTTTCATTTCATGCCCTCTAACTGCACTGTTCAATTTCTGAAATGAAGGCAGGAGCAAGAAAAATAAAGCTTGTATCAAAGGACCAAGGCTTCAGTTTGTTGTAAATTATCATCTTTCTATTAGTTGATGGCATTGGAAGAAAGCTGTGGAAATCCTTTTTTGACTAAAGACACTATAAAAATGTGATATGTGATTTTGTACTGCCAATTATTGTAAAAGCAAAATGTAACATTTTATAATGGAGCCACTGCTTAATGCTGTTCTCTTTTTCTTTTTCCCTTCAAATCAGATATTTATCTTTGAGAATAACATCTATTACTGTGCTCATGTGGGGAAACAAGCCATCCGAGTGGTCTCCACAGGAAAGGAAGGTGTTATTTTCAATGGGCTCAGCGACTGGCTGTATGAAGGTAGGACACAACATTTAGGGCAGCAGTTAACTATGAATTAAAGTTATACTCTAGATTTACAGAACTGGCTGGAGTTAGATGTTCAGCATTACGTTTCTGGGGACTAGTGGACCACAGAGCTGCAAGTCTGCTATTCTAACAGTTGTCTGAAGTGCTGGACTGGAAATAATGTGAAATGATGTAAGAATTCTGTTTTCAGGCTGTTTTTCTTTCCCTTTGTCCAAAGGTAATAAATCACCAAGCTTTAATGAACAGAACTGCTTCATTATTTAATGGCACCTGCAATCACTCATAGACGTGCCAGTTTCCAAATCACAGAAAAGGACAGAAATGGGGAGAGAAAGGGGTTTTATTTTAAAGGAAGAAGCAAGGAAGCAATTTTACTTGATTGGTTGTTTTCCACAGCACTAGGTGGGCCCTGGAATCTGCCCAGATCTTGCTACCTAAAATTTTTATAAAAGCAGAAAGGTCCTCACGGTAATTGGCTCCTTTCCCTTGAAAATGGGCCTGATAGGGTAGAGGGTCATTGATGGAGCACTGCTTTATTTTGGGCCTTTCAGCTGGTAAATGGTCCTTTAGGTGTCTGTCAGCAGCTGCTTGCAAAATAGTCTCACCTGATCACTAGCTTAGGAAAGGATCCCAGCCATCCCCAGTTCTTTTGGGGGACTTTATAGGCTTTTAAGCTAATACTTTCTCTCTCTGTTGCTGGATAATGCTCCCGGCTGTTCCTTTTCACAAGGATTCTGCTTTTGGGACCTGTCAGTGTCTCTTTCCTGTGGCAGTTTCCCTCTAAAGTCACACTTTCTCCTGCAAGTCCCAGCACAGTCCCAAGCTTTTCTTACCTCTGGAGAAAGGAATGTCCAAATACATCTATTATCTCAGCTTCCAGTTTCTTTGAGGCTTAATGGAAGAAAATATGTTGCAAAATGCCATTCACCACCATTAATTGGTGTAAAAATATGAATCACTCCTTAAATTACTCTGATCACAGCTAAGCTGGGGCCATTGGACTCAAAAATGAGGGAATTAAAATAAATTATTTTGTTTGCTACTCCCAGAGAAGCTGGTCCCATAAATCAGTGTACAAATTCATCAAACACATCAGCAGAAAAATATTTTAGATTTTTTTTTTTATATTTAAATGTGTGTTTACACTGTACCACAGAATATTTGCAAGTCCATGTCCTCCTTGTGAGGCATTTTGTAACCAAAGGAGTGGCTAAGAAGATATAAAATGCTAATTTTCTTTAATTTTAATTTATTTATTAATTTGTTGCTGAAGTTGTGGCCAAGCCTGTTTGACGCCGTAGGTCAAATGTGCATATTAGTACCCGTATTTTGCTGATAAACATCATTTAGTACATAAGGTCTTCCTGTAGAGTCTCACACACTGCACCATGCTGAGAGGAGTTTGTCAAGCCAGTGAACTCCAAGCATGCCGGCAAGCCCGTGATGACACTTGTTTTGCTGACGCATATTTTTATTCAATTACGGGATTGCTCAGGCAATTTCTTGGCTGACATTGACTTTCAGGTTTGTCCTTTATAATGAACTTTCTTGTTAACTTTATGTTAATGTACTGGGATAAGAAATGAATGTATGATCAAATACAAACCAGGTTCTGTAACCTCTCAGCAGCATGTACAGAGTAGAACCACTGAACCTGCTATTCACTGGGAGTATGTTTTGCAGAAATAAGGATATAGCATCCCTTTGGAATTGTCACTTTGTGTCCAAGTATGGATTATACAGAAATAAAAACTTCCCTTACTTCACAAGCAAGGTGTAGAAGGACCCACAGGAAAACCCAAGTTATAAACATTCCCAAGTGATGGGGTGCAGAATCAAAAATAAAATCCAGAGCTGGACTGTGTGAGCTGAGCTCTTTCTCTTGCAGTCCTTGTGGAGGTAAACCTGGGACCGGAATCAGGACTGAGATTTCATGACAGATGCACAAACAAGCTGTGGGGCCACGGGATCGGATGGGTCTGCAGTGTTTGGATGTCAGCTCTCTTCACGCATGGATGGATGGAGCAGGATCCAAGAAGAAATTGAGTATTGCATAGTGGATGACATCTCTCCACTGGAGTCCATGGGAATTCCATTATTGTTGTCAGTGAGACCAAAGTTTTACCCTATCAGCAGCTGGGATGCTCTGCTGACACAGTGTTACTGGTGCCTTTATTTTTCCAAATTCTCTCTTTTTTTGAGTGCCTCCTTTTCGGTTGGATAAACAGAAACAACATTTAAAATCCAAACTGACCTGACTGGCGTTGCTTGGCATCTGGGCAAGGATCGAAATTTACCACCTCAAGGGTATTTTTCCTCTTCCCCCATTCCTGCTGACGTTTATAGACGTGTCTTCTCCACCTCCCTAACAGAGCTGGGTGGGATGCTCAGACCCATGTTTGTTTGCACTGTCGCTGTCTCAGCGAGCTACCGAGATGAATGCTGAGCATATGTAGAAATCTCATTCCATCTGTGCAGCCATTTCCAGCAGATAGTCTGCAAAGGAGCTGCGAGAAATGCTGAAACGGGATCACTGAGAGTTCAGCACACTCCTCGTCGCTCATGTGCTCTTTTCGTTGCTGAAGTTCACCACCTCCAGCAGCAGCAGCCGAGCCTCCCCGCTGCGCCCGCCGGGTTACTGTGACAGTTCGTGACCTGCTTCTCACTTTCCCTAAACACAGCGCAAAACAAACCCACAAAACTTGGTGTTTTCTGTTTGAGGAAGCCAATTTTTAAGGTCTTTTATTGTAATCGGCAAGAGCACGTCAACAAAAAAATCCCTCCCCCTGCTTTCCAAGAGCTGTTTGCACAGGGTGCCATGCAGATGGCAGTCCCAGCAGTGCCACCATTTGGGGTAAATCCTGACACTCCATATGAACAGTAGATCCAGAGGGAACACTTTTTTTCATAACGTGATTGCTTTTGTCATGACAGAATAGATGCGCTGTACTATTAATCACAGGTTTTTACTAAGTCCGGAAGCAGAGCAGATCTAGAATAGACTTGACAGGCTTTTTGCCCTGGAAAAATGCAGAAGTTCATTTCAATTCAAGTTAAGCTCTGCTTTTGTAAATCTGCCAAAGGGCAAAAAATTTCTTTGAGGTATTTATGCTGATCTGTAGACTTTTGGTAATATAGTGAAAAACATTTCAAATCAATCAGAGCTTAATCTACTTAGTGCATTTAGCTGGAAGGTTATAGATCGCTACATAGATTACTGTAACATGAAAGCATAGATTAAACATGGCTTTTATTACTAAAATAAGCACTGACAGTGTTTTCATAGTCTGACTTAACATTTTCAGAGCTGTGCCTGATAGATGCTTATACTAAAATGGAGTAATATGCTATAAAAGAGAGTTTAAAGTTCTGCAGCTGAAACCAACTAAGCATTTGAATGCACAGCAGCAGCAGTGGTTTATATTTCAGTTTGCTGTATGATTGTTGTTGGTTTGTGAATATGTTTTAGCAACAATGAGTCTTTAAAGATAACTTTAAAGCAAGAGGTAATATAGCACCAAGTACTTTCAAAGCGATAGGATAAGAGTATTTATATGTTATATATATATATAGTACTTTAATAGAAGTAATGTACATTTTAGAAAGTAAAATGCAGGTAAAATTTACTTAATTTAAATACTTTGTTAGAGCACTCTTCAACAGCAATTATTTCTGTCATGGTGTAATTAAAGCATCTCCAGTTGCTACCAGGCGCTTGGAGAGACTGTCCAGATGTGAGAAAGGGTGGCAGTGAGGGGCTCTGCCAGAGGTGATCCTGCTCAGTGACAGAGAGAAGGTTGTGGTGTCCCTGTGTTCCAGTTCGGAAACTCATTGAGTTTGGGATTGTGTGGTGCTAAATGCTGGGGAGTGGGGCTCTGCTGAGTATGACAGGGACCTTTTCTGGGGTGCATTTCTATAAAATCCTGGTGTGACCTCCTTTGAGCAAGTCTGCGTTTGCAGATAGACGTAGACAACTTCTGGAGTTATGCTCTGCTGCTAAGTGAGAACTTGGAAATCACGGGGGAGCGGGATGCAACACGGTGATGTGCGCTCCTGTCACCAGTGGGAGGGAAGGAGGGATTTTCACCTACAGATGGGCCATCCATAGAGTGTGAAACAGGGTTTTCCTTGTGTTTTGCTGCATGTGTCCTCAGATGTAAGAGTAGTCCCCTAGAATCTATTTTGCGACTTGGTCTGTGGGACACATTTTTGACTTTTAGGAGCTTTTGTTGCAAAAGGAAGAATTTTAATTACTCCCTCATGTCACTATCAGAGTGATCAGAAATGTTTGTCCTGTAAGTCTCTAAAGATCATCTCAAAGTGAGCATCCCATTCCAGACTGAGCCCTGACACCGTGGCTGTGACGTCTCATCTGGATGTCTCCTCATCCTCACGTCAGCAAGAACCCCATCTGGCAGCCAGGCACCAGCGCCGGCTCACATGGCATGCGTTTAAAACTCTTATGCAACATCAGCTATACGTATCCATCATTTAAAATTAATACTCTGCTCTGTTGAGCTTAATGCACAGCAGTGCTGCTATGCTTTATTTTTGGCTAGGGAGCAAGAGGAGGAGTGAAAAGAGACTCTTTCAGCAATGACTTGTATGCCTTATTAATCTCCATTCTGCCTGCATTACGTTATCACTAACAGATCCTCTTATGTGACTTCGCAGTGACATCTGGTGGGAGAGGCCAGGATGTCAGCGTCATTAAGACAGTGAAACTGCAGAATTTTTTGCTGCAAGATCTAGTAAAGGCTCCCAATTTCCCCTCACATGCATTTCCTTGAAACTCTCCCGGAGCTTATGGGAACTACACATTCAAAGCTCCTGACTGATTCATGCTAACAGTGGTTCTGTTCCTTTTCTAGACTTTATAAAGAGAGGAAAGAGAACACAGTAATAAAGAAAAATCTTTTCCATAATTTAATCAGCATCTCACAAAAATCAGAGGGTATATTTAGAACATGTATGGCTGATCTCAGAGGTGG